TTAAGTTTATAGTTTGAAAAGTTTCGAAGCTTCTCGTCTTAGAATTTTGTAGTGAATAATCACAAGTTCTTTTCATTGTAAAAAGGATATGAAAACTTATAAAGTTACTTTTAAGAGTAAATCATGATAAAAATATTTAGTGAGCATTAAGAATTTAAAACAATATGAATCTTTACATCGTATTGAATGTTCGGACATTTTTTCAAGTAAAACAGAATTTGAAGAAAATCTCACGAAACTTTTTTTTTTTTTTTTAAATTGTTAGCCGGTGTCAAAAGAAACAGAAATATGCTGATGATGATGTTTTGAAACAGCATGATACTTCTCTTCTTATAAATTGCATCCATTGTTTACAAGTGTTTAAAAGAAAAAAGTGATCTCTTACACCACATTCGAATGCGACATGGTTTGATGCGAATCTTACAAAAACGAAGAAACGTTGACATCGTTAATACATGCAAGTCTTCTAAAATCGCAAGTCTTAATAGTATGTTCGCAATTGAATCGATTTTCTAGAACATAGAAAATGATCATCTTAGATGTACTTCTTGAATATATAAAATTGTAGTTAGTAGGAAAAAAATGAGTTATGATGTAGTTTTACACTGAGTTATGATATCGGTGTTTGAAATGGTAATCAATAGTTACATTTAAAAATGTGTCGTGAGTGTGAAAATGCAGAAATAAAAGAGCTTTGGCGAATTTAATAAATATCTATTGAGTTTTCGTTTATTCTTTGGAATGTATGAACGTTTAAATATTTTTTTAATTTAATGTAGATTGGAGTAAAATATCTGTATCTTTCTTCATTTCAATCGGTAATATCTGTATGCTGGTAAAGGTACGTATGTTCGTAAGAATTATACTGTGTCACATTTTGACAATCACTTTCATTCATATTAGCTAATAAGAGAATTATTGAAGTTAATAAGTAATGAAAATCAACACTATTGAAAGAAAAAAAACTCTAAAAGCATTTCAGAATATATATCAAAGTTCCTTTTTTTAAAAACAGCAGGTGTATCGTAGTTTTTACTTCTATTTCGTTAAAAGCTGAACTTGTAAAAAATAAAAAATTTTCTATTAGTGTTAAGGTAAACAAAAAAAAAATCAAGAGACAATCCGTATCATGAATGAAATTCAAGTCTTACATCGGATTGTCAAAAGAAATATTCTGAATCTAAATGTTTATGCCTATTTAGGCACAAAATTGTGTTTATTTGCCTTATAAATTTAACTAAAATCATTCTTATAACAGTATGTTGCCTTTAAACTGAGTAAAAATGTTAAGTATATTTTCTGATGGTATTGATATACTTGCCAAAGAAGTTCTAAAACCTCAAATGTCGAAAGAGCATATGATAAGAGTCTCCTTTTCCTATCGCTACATCAGTTACAGGTTAAGGGGCGTCTTGAATGGATGAAGGTAATGTTTGTGCAAAAAATATAGTAGTTCTATTTTGAAATGAGAAATAATTCGCTTTTTGTCAATTAAGGAAACTTGTGGTATTATCAAACAGAATGTCAGTGAAAGACATTGCGTTTGCATAGTGAATTATGAAGGTACTTAAAAGATAGTAAAGAAGGTGAATTAAGAATTAATTTGAAACAATAAGGTAAGGCTATCATTAAAAGAAAAAACTGTTCAAAAGATGTATATTAGAATTAAAAGTAAGATGTTAAAATTTAAAAAGATGTAACAGAGTAAAACCAAAGAACTACTGGTAATTCCCATCTGGAAAACAGTAATTTGACTACGATATTGAAAAAGTTGGTTTTAAAAATTTCTTTATGCATGTGATGCAAAAACAATTGCTGCTTTATCATGAGTGCTGACATAGATGCAATTAGTGTAGGAAAAAGTAGTAAAATTAGTATAGTCAGTGTCTCTAAACATTAAAAAATAATAATGTGAGCAGTTGTAAATTCATTTGAAGTACTGAAATATGACATAGACTAAATACCCAGAAGATGTAAGAAATATTTTGGTATGTGTGGATGAAACACTGAACGTGGTTTGTAAAATTAGAAATGAAAATTATCAACACACATAAAGGTAATCGGGACTTAAAACTAAACATGATGTTAGAAACTTTGAAGATCGTAAAAGCTATATGAGAAAGAAATACATTTAGATATAAATGGTTATTAAACTGTAAAGTTGTGAATGGAAATTTTGAGTAAAACCTGTAGATGATCTATTATGATCGGAGAATAAAACAAGTATTTTAAAAATTGTAAGGAATATTTGAATATGGAGTAAATGAAAACAATCCATATCGTTAAAATGAATAAAAAGGGATAAAATGTTGGAATTACGAGTGATGAGACGGAAATAAAAACATTATAATAAATAAGTTAAACTAGAATTAAGAAATATAAACACAGAAGGGAAATCATGAACGTAAGAAAGCAATTAACAGTTATAGACTTTTTGTTTTAAAAAAAAAAATATTCGGTAATGTAAGGAAGATATTGGTTAAACATGTAAAAGAAATTAGAAATTCTGTAGAAACATTTAGTAAAAGAACTAAGATCACGAAAAATAAACGTTTCTTTTTAAATAGAATTTCAAACCACTAAGTTTAAAGTGTGTATAGAATACTAGAATGGTTTAAAAAAGTAAATGAAGTTAAAATTCAGAATATATTGAACATTATAACGTTAAAAAAAAGTGTGAAATTGCATTAAAATTAAGTAGTGTAACAAATAAACAGCATGTGCGGGAACGTTTGTGAAATATAATATATAAGTTAAAAATCAGGGTATGCTGAAACGGTATGAAAGGTATGAAAAAAAAAACTAGTATGTGGAAATTAAATAAAATATTACAAATTAGAAACGTTAAGTATTAAAAAAATATGACAGTAAATAAATATGTTATTATGAACAGAAAACCTGAGAAATAAGTTAAAGTTTCATGAAAAACTAGAAAGAATAAAAGTATCAGAATAAAATTGAGTAATAAAAAAAATTATCTTGTAGTTTCATTAAAGGAAAGTCTTTTTTTTTTTAATATATATAATATTTGTTTCTTTTACATTGTTTTCAGAGTCGCGCATTGAATAATTTTAACACAGACCAACTTAAAAAATATATTTCTAAAACATATAATTACTTTTTTTCGTAATAGAGGAGGCCAGCATCGACATTTCATCAAATTAAGATGCAGAAAATATTTCCCGTTGCCAATTTAAAAAAAACTAACTTTAATGAAAAGCAGGAGGTCTACAACTCAACCAGCAATCTACCAACACCTCAACTCCACTCGTGACCACGCCTCCTAGTGTGATGACGTTCCCTTTGGCCCCGCCCTCTGTGTGACGTCATTGACCACGCCGCACCGCACACCGCGTGTCGCAGAACCCCCATTTTTCATCTACTAACATCAGCCTCAAGTATTTTCAGTTCTGATCCAGCACGGTGGACAACCATAAGCGCAGTTCTTATCGATTACTTCTCTCGTAATCACCCTGTGCAGAAATTGGATATAAATTTTAAGTTATACGCCACTAAATTTGGCGAAATAATGAGATGTCCATCACAAGATTATTTTTTCAGAAAACTGAACAACAATGATATTATAAAAAGGGACTGGTTGATATTTTCCGAATCTACTGGCAAGTTTTTTTGTTATAAATGTATTTTGTTCAAATCGGACCTACCTGGAAATCCAAACCTGTGTAACCAATTCCTTACAGGCTTTAATGACTGGAAAAACGCACATTCGAGAATTTCAAGTCATGAAGTGTCAAAAGAACATTTTGCATCTATTTCTGCTTTAGTGAACTACCAACAAACTAGAAAAATTGATGAGACGTTTGATATTGTCAAGGAAAAAGAAAGCACATATTGGACAACGGTTTTAAGAAGAGTAGTGGAAGTAATTAAGTTTTTGGCCGAAAGGGGACTAGCGTTTAGAGGCGATAATGAAATACATGGTGATCCTAGTAATGGCAATTTTCTTGGGTGTATCGATCTCTTAGCCAAATTTGATCCGTTTCTAGAAGAACATGTAAGAAGATACGGTAATCCAGGCCGCGGAAAAGTATCATATTTATCCTCCACAACGTATGAAGAACTAATAATTTTACTGGGGTCAAAAGTATTGGAAAAAATAGTTACAGAAATCAAAGAAGCCAAGTATTATGGAATCACTGTGGATTCTACACCTGACGTTAGCCATACGGATCAACTCTCCATAGTTATTAGATATGTCTCAAAAACTGGAGATATATATGAAAGATTTTTGATGTTTGTTAAAATAGAAAAACATGATGCCAAGTATCTTTTTTGACACTCTAATTTCAGTTTTAGAAAATCAGGGAATAGACCCAAAATTTTGCAGATGTCAGTCTTATGACAATGCGGCTAATATGAGCGGAGTGTATTCGGGAGTACAAACTAGATTTAGGGAAATCAACAGCGCAGCAGCCACTTGGGTACCATGTGGAGCTCATAGTCTTAATCTAGTTGGCACACAGCGGCGGCAGAAAGCTGCTTAGAAGCTGTAAAATTTTTTGAAATTTTGCAATCGCTCTACAATTTCTTTGCAGCGTCCCCTCAAAGATGGTCTAAACTAAGGTCTTTGGGAAGTAAAATTTCTGTAAAAAGACTTTCAGAGACCAGATGGTCAGCACGTTATGAGGCTGTAAAAACATTATGTGCCCATTATGATGATATACGTGGTATTCTTACAAATATTTCAACTAGTGAAGGTATGAAACCTACAACAGTGATTGAGGCACAAACCTTAATCCATCAAATGAATACTTTGGAGATGGTATTACTCACAGTTATTTGGGAAGATCTACTAAAAACACGTCGATATTGTAAATAAATCTCTTCAAGAACCTGGCATCGAGTTTAACACGATGGTGCGACTTTACGACAGTTTAATTCAATATTTATCTCACTGCAGAACTGAGGACATGTATAATAGCTATTATCTTAAGGCAAAAGCCCTGCCCTTGCACCAGATTCAGAATTTAAAGAATCCGAAACTAGAGTTCGTAAGAGAAAACGACAGTTCGATGAAGGGCCAGATGAGACTCCCTCTCGCAGTGCCAAAGATTCCTTTAAGATTAATGTTTTTTTATTGTTCTGGATGTGCTTTGCGCTGAAATGACAAAGAGACGCACTGCGTATACCAGCCTTTATGACACATTTAGTTTTCTTACGGATAATACACTGACCGAGGACATTATCAAGGTTAAGGCTCAAGCTCTGGTAAAAATGTATCCGTCTGACTTAGAAGAAAACTTTGTTGATGAGTATTTTGATTTTTTCAAATTTGTACTCCAAAACCACCTCTATAACGGATCTCATCAAATTACAAATAAAGGATAAACTTGTGTCAAGTTTCCCAAATGTTAATATTGCATTGCGCATATACCTTTCGATATTGGGTTCGAATGCAGAAGGAGAAAGATCATTCTCCAAGTTGAAGCTTATAAAAAATTTTATGCGTTCAACTATGGGTCAAGAGAGAACTTCGTCACTGGGCCTTCTGTGTATTGAAAGTGATGTCGCTCGCGGCATTAATTTTGAAGATATAATGATTTTACAGGAACTGTTCGTTAAAAAAATTACTCTGCTTATTTTTGTACCATACTTGTACATATGTATCATAACCTAACTTTTCATTACTTTTCAGGAACTATTCATCTTGAATTACTGGCATCTATATTTAACCAATTTCATATTTAACCCAGATTTTTATTTATTTATGCAAGAATTATTTTATATATCCTTATGTTTTATATATCCTCGGTCTTTGAAATGCACATGTTAGAGTAGACGACTTTGTATTCAAAGCTTAGTATCTCCAGTTGCTACCGTGCTTCACTACTGTGAGCCGAATACAAACAGAAAGAGATGGAATATTTATCTTTTAGTGAATGACATAATATACCCTGCTCTCATACAAGGAGCAAGGAGTCCTTTGCTGTAATTGGGCAACAGCTCTAAATCTTACTAACCCATCTTCTTAATCTTAATAGAGACAATTTGCCCAGAAGAACTATTAATTTCGTTTTGGAATTTTACGTTGATTCACTTTCTGCGTTGTTTCACTTTTCAAATTGTTGCCACCAAATATTAAACAATATATTTATTATTTGTATTATATTTAAAGGAATTAAACAATGAAGAATCTGCATAAATATATGTATGTTTCTCGCATTGTGATAAAACAACGGTACCTAAAGGCCATCCAATTTTGAATAACGTAATCTTTCAGCGAATATGGGCATCTGGTAGCCCTAATTTGGAATTTGGAATAGGTTTTATTATCGGTTTTATATTTTGTAAAACTTTAAAGAATTTTTGATTAAAAAACTCAAGGATTTCAAAGCGAGCGAGCAATGACAACGTTGTACAGAAAAAAACATTTTTATCTCCAGCGCGCGAGACTGTGTATCCGAAATTCTAAAGATATGCTCATTGCTACATCTAAACTCTGCACAACCAGCGCCGTTACACCTAAACTCTAGAATAGTCGTGAAAAAAATGTACATAGAACTCTGATTTGCATTGAACTAGAACTAGAACAAGAACTAGAAAGATCGTATGAAGGAAAGCGCGCAATGTCCATGTAACATAATTAATTGTGTATATAAATGTAATATATTCTTTCTTTATATTTACCAGACGTGGCAGTGTGAACTATTTCACCAATGTTTAAATTAGTTTCGTTCAGAATAGAATGGAGTAATCTCGGCCACCCGGAAAACAGAAAAGGTAAGAGATTCCTTTAGAATTTAATTTTGGTTGCCAACCTACACTCATTTAAAAATTATTTTGAGATATTGCTGTGGAAGTGTATTTTATGGTTTAAGTGCGAAGAACATGATATTTAATGAATAAAAGTAACACACAAAACGTTAAAAGAACGTCTTCTTGGACGTAATTTAAAGTCTGAAAACTTTCATATTTTTTTATTTAAATTTTTTATTGATTTATTTATTTTTACAGAATGCAACCAATGAATTACGTCAAACAAGAGGTTTAACGGTCTGAATTAAAACGTGAAAAAAATGGCCACTTTTAGCTAATTTACCATCTAATTAAACTGACGCCTTTTGAAATATTGTTTTAATATATGCGAAATCAGTCGAAATTATTTACTCAGGAATTCAGGTCAGTGTGAGAAATTTAGACCATATATTCAAGACCATTTTATTTGTTTCTTTTGTCAATAGATGGAGCAAGCTGTCAAACATATGTGTGCTGAATTAAGAAATAAGAGTTCATTTTGGTAACAAAAACGTCGTAGTTGGCTCTGCTGAAGTTAACAAGGAGACGAATTGCTGAAATGATATTACCCAGCATCATGGATTCCAAATTAAATGGAAAAGTGAAACTGGAAAATCTTGCTGATAAAAATAAAAGGTTGAAACTATTTATTGTTTTAAGAAATTTAACGTCATACGTTTTTCCGCTACTTTAACTGCCTTGAAATATATGCTATGCCAATGCCAATGCCAATGATTATTACAATGATTATTATAAACCGTATACCTTCATATCATAAAAATATCTAAGTAGTGAGCAGAAATAGGAAAAATGTATAAATAGTTACCATGATGCATACTAGAAGGAGCCACATTAGCTCGAGAAAGTTTAGGTATAGGAAAAATCAAGTTTTGATTTTTTTGGTTTTAAACTTTTTTTTGTATTTTTAAATTTTATTATTTATTATTTTTGTATTTTTTTATATTTTTATAACATATAAATGCAACACTAAAGCCAAAAGCGAATATGAAAGATTGGCTAGTCTTTAGAATATGGTAACAGGTAGTCTGGCGACATTTTGGTAAGGCGGTAATGTTTACTACCTAGGACTTTAGCAATAATCTGAGAAGTACACAGTTCGAATCACAGATTATTTTGTCTCAGAGAAATGAGACATCATGAGACATGTCATGTGGCATTTTCCGGAAAATTCCGATCGTGATTCTAGCTAATAAACACTTAGAAACAATTTCGCTGCTAAAGTGCAGAATCGCCGACTTATTTGTTTGGCGCTTTTTACAAGAGTAAGAAGAATTGGATTTTTGTCAATTTTCTTTGACTTTTTAAGTGAAAATAAGTCGATGTGTACATAGATAAAGTCCGAAACAAAACTAGCAGTTTGCTGTAGCAGGGTTGGTCGCCAACGTTTCGCCAAAAAATCGCCAAGTTACCATAATGTAAAGATTCACCGAAAGATTTTACAGATTAGTAGGCTTATTGGCATATGGTACTAATCATAGTGAAGTTAAATATTAAATTTTCGCGTGGAAAGATCCAGGGCAGATATGTTAGGATATAAACTTGTAAAACTTCTGTGTGCATTTTATTTTACAAGTACATTCTTGTAAAATAAAATGCATAGATAGTACCATGAAGCGGAAATTGATGAATTGAAAATAAAAATAAATTCTTAACACATCTTAAGCAAGACATACTTATATACATACGTAAGCAAGAGCAAAATGAATAAATAGAAAGTAAAACGCAGTCTAATTGCACGCTGAAATCCAATTGCATGCTGAAAGCAATGTAACATTTTGTTTCAGCACCTAACGGAATAACTGATGAGCTTCTTAAAAGTCAAATAAAGATTTCATTGGAGATATATAATTTGAAAAACAGTTCTATCCGTTACAGCATCACACTCCAGCTCAATACTACAGTTTCTTTCTTGATACATTTTTCACACACCTACAAAATGGTAAACTTTCAAAATAACTTTTTCAAACATTTTCTGACGTTGCTCAGTAACGGTTACAGGATACAAAATATTATGTTGCCACTCCAATATCCAGGATAACAAATATAATTATTTGTTAAATAATCAAATATTACAGTAGAAACAAGCTGTGGTGATAATTCATAATAAATTTTAAAAATAATTCGTTTAAAATTCATCCCATATTCAATTCGGAATAAGCATATGCAAAAACCAAATACCAGAAGCAGAAAACTGCAAAGAAAGGATGCAGGAAAAAGGGGGCAAAAAAAAAAAAAAAAAAAAAACAAAAAAAAAAAAAAAAAAAAAAAAAGGACAAGACCAAAAAAATGAAACAGCTTTTGCCGCGAAAGGGCAAATAAACCAACCTGCTTATGATCCAATAAAAACAAATATGGAGATTTCCGGTTATGTTTTTACCACCAATCCTCGAATTCCATATCACAGATTATGTTCTTACTGCATTAATATAATATTAACAAGACATAGTGCACAATAAAAATTAAGCTTTATTTAGGAACTTCGCGCACACTGCCCGACAGCCTGCCTGTTTCGCTCTGCTC